AATAACAGCTAAAGGGGACACAGATACTTTATTATGGTATAGTATTTAAATGTATGCCTGAGAAACACATAATATTGTCTCTTTAAAGAATAAAGCACCAGCTGACAACAGACGTCTGACCTGATTTGGGAATCTTCTTTGGTGAAGGACCAGTCTTGTTTTCCTCTCCTTCCTCTGAGAACTGATCTGAAAACACAGCTGTGTGTGAGTGAAAGATCAAATTAAAGGATGTTAAAGGAACACCTTGTATCAAACGGTCGGGTTGTTTACCATCTTCATCCTCATCATCATCAGCTGGATTAATGACAACAGGTGGGTGCGTTGGGCTGGGCACCGGTTCCTGAGCTTCTGTCTTGATGACTCCTCTGAGCTGAGGGTTGGCTGTGGTGGTCAGAGGAGGAGTTGATGGGAGAACTGGTTCCTCATGTTGGACCTCCTCCTTTATGCTCTGACCTGGAAGAATGACACCTGATGTCATTAGTAGACTTCAAAAACCAGTAAAGTTTAGATTATTACTTTGTTAGAGGGACAAAGTTCACTTACTTTTACTGGGTGGGACAAAGACGCCTTCAATGTAGCGGGGCTTCTCATGAAAAAAAGCACAATGTGGCTTCTGGCAGCCAGCCGGTTGGTTCTCCCAGTAACACGGGATCTCCTTTCTGTTTTTCTGTTGGGATGAATGACAACAAACAGATGAAACATTATGATCAACAACCAACACCTGGGTTTGTCAAATGTCTCCTCCAAGCATCGAGAAGTTCATTTCAGTGCCTGTAATCTAAACTTTACTACCAGTAGCTACATTTTATTTTTATGTTGCTAACAAACTGAACAGCAGTTTATAAAAGTTACCGATCTTGTTGCAGATTAGGGTTTCTGTGGAGCGCTTTGTTTGCTGGGTCAAAACAAAGATCTACGATCATCAGGAGCAGAGGGTGGGCTTGTGGAGACCAACAACCAMAGTGTTGTGAGTGCTGAGTTTAAACTCACGTTACTTTCACTTTCTTTAATTAAAGACTMATTACTGAAACTTCATTGTAAGTAAAAAGGTAATTTAACAGATCAACACATGAACATCTTCCTACAGTTTGTGTGGGTTTTATATCACCACTCATGAAGTTAAGGTGAGTCAGAACACAAAGCTGCATTTATAATCACAGTTTCCAAATGATTAATGATAATTAATGTATATGTTAAATTAATGTATATTAATGATATCAGTGTATATATAT